CAGGCGACACCTGTGCGGGGTGGTACATTGAGGTGCCGTAGCCGACACTGCAACTAGCCGGCCTGTAGCGAGGGCTCAGCCCTGAGCTTCCTGCGCCAGTGAGTTCCTCCTGGGCCATTGCACGTCCCACTGAGCCCATGCTGCTGGGCTGGCAGGGAGCCTGTCATCCCCAGGGCACATCTGGGTCAGGTTCCGAGAGCTGGACTGGAACCTCTTCCCTCTCTGCTTTGAGTGAGTCTGGTCAGCTGGTGGGATCCATGGTGCAGGCTGCTCCTAAGCTCTGGCCGTGGTATCACGTGCAGGACCTTCAGGGACCCGGGCTGGGTCCGCATGCGTAGTGCTGACACCCCCTCAGAGCTCACACGTGCTGTCCCATGAATGACCTCTCAGTGTGCTTTCCCCAGCCCCAGGGTCCACTCAGGCACAAGGCACAGCACCTATCTAGTGTTACCTGTTGCCATTGGCACCTAAGGATAATCCAGGCCAACTAGGCTATATCTGTGACAAGCAGCTAGCAGAGCCACTGGTCTCTCCTTGGACTAGCTGCCTTCAAGCACCCCATGGCCTTTCAGGTCCCTGGTCATGTCTCTCCTGGTCCATTTCCAGAAGAAAATATGCCTTCTTATCACAACCTGTCCTGCAAGTGTCCAGTCCATTCTGGAGATCACTGGGTGGTTCTCTAAGCATAGGAGACCTGATGCAGAGCCCTAGCCTCAAGGTCATTGCTGACCACAGACCAGCTTAATCCATGCTGAAGCCACATAGTGTGCATGTCTGTGTGTTCTGCACAAAGGGAAAGCCTGTCCTCAGTCCAGTCCACCGATGAGGGTCTCAGTGAGGACTGGGTGGAGCAGTGTGATCCTGGCCCCCAGGCCAGGGAGGCTCAGAAAGAGGCCAAACTGGGGAAACAGAACTTGGTGTCTGGAAAAGCTGTTTCTGTGGCACAGGCTTGCCGCTTGCAATGACCTTGATCACCACCACTGACCTGGCCCACCTCCCACGGTTTCAGCTCTACCACCAAGCAGGGATGTCTGGGTCCCTGCTTCAGTTTTCCCATCTGTAAATACAGGAGCTGGACTGTGGGATCTGTAAGGTCTTTTCCAGCTCTTCAGGCCCTGCTCCCTGGCCTGTGACCACTGGGCACCTTCCTGCTCACTCCAGTCCCAGTACGCAGCACCAATGATTACATTCATAACTCTAGCTACGTCTGGGTCACTTTGGGTTTGGGAGTCACCACAGTAGGCTGGCTGACCTTGCAACTCTCTTTCTGATATATTCCAGCCTCAAAACTCCAAGCACACAGAGCTCTCCCGCACAGTCCTTTCTGATTGATTAGGAGGCTATGTGGCCTTTGGTCCCTTATGTCCTCTCTCTCAGAGCAAGTTGAATTCTTTGGTTCTTTGTCTCCATTTGACCCCTGCCACTCAGCTCTTTGCTGAGGTCTCTTCATTTGGTCTGGGGGTTGAAGGGTCCCACTCAGTTACTGACTCACCTGGACAGACCCCTGGACTAGGAGAGAGCCGGACAGCTCTTGACCCGGGAGAACCACCCCTTGTGGTCCAAACAATAATAGCAAGCCTGGCACCAGTTTCCAAACCTGCTTGTTCTGAGCGGAGCAGAATGCCTGGCTGTCCTGGTCCCCCTGCTTTTCCCGGGGGTAGAGGGTTCCACCACCCGCGGCAGGAGCTTCTAGGGGTCGCTGACCACCACAGAGTGACTTTGGAGGCCGTGTGCCCAGTCTCCCCATCGCCACCATGTGCCGTGAGCCTCTCTCGCTTCCTTTCCAGCCGAGGGCAGCACATGTGTCTGCAGAGAAGCATCGGAGTGCGAGGAGGGAGGGATCAGCATCTGCGTGGCCGTGAACGGCGAGGAGCGGACGATGACGGAGTGCGAGGCTGGCGCCCTGAGGTGCGGAGGGCAGAGCATCTCCGTCACCAGCATAAGCCCCTGCGAGCAGGGAACCCAGTAGGCTCCTGGTTGCCGCGGGCTTGCTCGGGATCAGCAGTCGCCGTGGCTGGACTGAAACAGCCATGTAACTGAGCACTCCAGCCAAGGTCTCCAGGGGGAGGCACATTCCTTCTCCTTCCCCAGGGCCCACATCCCCCCTTGACCCCCAGCCACCTGCAGAAGCCAAGCCGGAATCAGATACTCTAGCTCTTCTTTGTTAAAACATCAGTAGGGGTGAAGAACATTCTTGAACCTCTGCATGAGTTAACTGTGTGTTCTTGGAAAAATTGCTAACTTCTCTGGACCTTGGCTTTTTAATCAACTCTCTGGACCTTGACTTTTTAATCAGAAAATTAGAGGGATACACTAGAGAAATGCAAATGCTCCCTTCAGCCCTATGACTCCTCCAAGTCTGATTGACCCCACCCAGGGGCCCAAACACTGCAAATTGATTAGGAAACAGGAAGGTCCAAGAGGTACCCCCACCCTACAATGAAACAAAATACAAAGGGGACCTTGGATGGAAAAGGATTCCTTCCGATGCAGCGATTCTTTCCCAAGAAGGATACTCATGTCACCCTATTGACTCCTGTAGGGGCCCCTGATCTTGTCAGCAGATGGAAACCCAATGGTCAGAGCTGAACCCATCATGCTCTAGTCACGGCACCTTCTGCCCTTTTGTCTGAGAACATACCCCTTTCAGTCTTCGTTCGGGAGCTTTTTTAGTGTGTGTCAAACACGATACCTGCAGCCTGCCCCCGCCCCCCCCGCCTCGCCCCTTTTCTTTGGTGGGAAGTGTCAGTTCATCCTGAGCTACGGCGTGATTGCACACTAGAGAGAACAGCTTTCTCTGATGAGGGTGCACGCCGAGATTTTTTGGGGGCTGTAGAGGCAGATCAAGTTGAAGCACTGGCATTCAATTTATTCCATAATCATTCTTCATCCAAACAAAACAGAAAGAAAACGGCTGTGGGAGATGAAACGAGTGGGCTTACACAGAACTTAAAATGTGCTTTTATATACAAATAATGCCTCTGTATTTTTCTGATTCTGATAAATGCATTTTGACAAAGCTTTAGTTAAAATGACAATGATTAAAATACTCATTAAAGATACTATCCTTTGGAAATTTTTGGTCTGTATCATGTTTAATTTTAAAGAATCTTTCCATGACGAATCGCTAATGTGTTCTTTTAAAAAATATTTTTATTTTTTTAGACTACTTTATTGAGGTATGATTGACATGTAGAAAGCTGTGCATAAACGATGCTTAATATAACTTGATGAGTTTGGGGACAAGCATACGCCCATCAAAGCCATAAATATATCCATTACTTCCCAAGGTCTCTTCCCACTTCCATCATTATTATTATTATTATCATCATTGTAAGAATACAACATAAGATCTTTCTTCTTAAAAAATTTTAAGCATTCAGTAAGTATTGTTAGCTAGTGGCACTATCACTTGCACATGGCCTCAGCTATGCTGCAGAGCGGATCTCTAGAACTTATGCATCTTACATAAGTGAAACTTGCTACCCTTGACCACCATCTCCCCATTTGTCCCCTCCTTTGCCCCTGGCAACCACCATTCGAATTTCTGCCTCCTAGGAGCTTGGGTATTTTAGATTCCACATGTAAATGAGATCATACAGTATTTCATTTCTTTTTCTGGCTTATTTCACTTAGCATAATGTCCTCCCCATCCATCCATATTGTCACTAATGGCAGAGTTTTCTTCTTTTAAAGGCTGCATAGCACCCCAGGCTATGTCTACACCACACTTTCTTTACCCGTTAGCCATGGTTGGACGCTTAGGTTGTTTCCATGCCTCGGCTGTTGTGAATAACCCTGTAATGAACATGGGAGTGCAGGTATCTCTTCAAGATCCTGATTTCAATTCCTTTGGATATGCACCCACAAGTGGGGGGATTGTTGGATCATATGGTGGCTTTATTTATAATTTCTTGAGGAACTTCCATACTGTTTTCCACAATGGATGTACCCAGGTCTCACCCAGGTCCAGTTTTATATACCAAATTGTCCCTTGAGTGACACTTCAGATATAATATGCAGAAGTTACAAGGAGGTAGGTTTACATTGATTGAAAAAAATAATATTCAGAAATGTTTAATTGAGGCCAACTACATTTGTTAGAGGTTATTATGGAGTTACTTTCTATCTTGGGTAGGGGGATAGATTTGAAAATGCCAGGCCCAGGTGCAGATGTCAAAACAAAGACTTGAACAAGTAATTCATTTGGGAGGAGGCAGATCAGCATCCTTACAGTAATTTCTCTCTTGTCTTAAACTAATCTGGAGTTAGGGGTCTATTACCTAGATACCACCCCCCTCCTTCCCTTTCCTAACAGATGCAGAGGACATGGTTGACATTGTCAAATGCTAGAAGAGAAAGGGGCCTGGAAAGAGGAACCAGCAGATTTGATGTCTAAAGTTAGTGAAGGAGAAATAAGGGCTTAGCAAGCAGGTGGAGGAAGGGAGCAGTGAAGGGGGCTGTAGAGATGCTGTCTTGAAATATGTAATTTCATGCCTTTTTTCTTTTCTGAACATCCGTATACTTGACACTTCCTCTCATTAGAGACGTTCACAATTGTCTATAGGAGAATTAGGTTCGTTGCAGCAGGTCTGCAAGGAGAAAGTGACTTTCAACATTAAATCTTTAAAAATGTTTGAGAATTTCAAAATAAAGTCTTAAATAGCTAAAGAGAGGGCTTTGAGGGAAGCTAGATGGACTATCTGTGGATGGTAAAGAGAACAGAATGGAGGGAGGGTGAGTTTTCCCTGCCTGCCCTCCCTTAGCCTCAGGCCAGGTGAGGGTCACCTGAGAGAGGATGGGCTGGAGCCTTAGAGGAGACGGCAGAAAGTGCTGAGAGTAAAATCACCTGGACCTTGGTGTGGGGGGAGGGACAAAGGGAGGGAGGGGTTGGCTGGTGCATTAACCATCACTAGCTTCAGAGAGGTACATGGGAGCCCAGCCACATCCTATGATCATCACTCAATAGAAGTGAACCCTACAAGTCACCTGGGCCGAGAAGCTGCTTCAGGAGATCTAATTGCATCAGCCAGTGCCTTCTTGTGACTCGGCACCTTTTCCTAATCATGGGCCAATGGGCGTGCTGCTTATCAGTGCCCTGAGATTCAGTGAGCCCATCCCAACAGCTCTGTAAGGAACCTTCCTCCCTGCCCTCATCTGTCCAAGGCACTTGTAATCTTCTTGACACAGAGGGAAGGTTCCCAGTGTTCAGATGGGGCATGTTTCGGGTACTGAGTGACAAGCAGGAATATCTATCTGACAAATGATCCCTGGAACTCTGCCCAGCGATTAGCTAGGCTAGGTAGCTAGTTTGATTGAGAGTCTCAACTCCTCTGGGCAGGTCACAGCGCATCTCAGCTTCGTATGGGAGCTGTGAACCCGTCCTGCTGTTAAGCGGCCACGCAGAGCTGTGGGGGCAGGGCAGCTGGCTTACTCGGCATCCTCCGAAACAGCTCATTATGTGTCTACACAGAAATTGCCACTTTTCCATTTGGTTAAGATAAGTATCTATATTAATCAAAATTTTTGAACCCCACAATTTTTTGTTCTACATTTTCTTCCTATACCCACGAACATTTCTTACACCAGCAAACTCACATGCACACTAATCCACCCTAAGAGATGGGTTATAGGTGAGACAAGTATGATAGCTCGTGGCGGTAGTCATCATAAACTTGACTATAAGCTGAGGTGTCACATACTTGGGGTACAAGGTGAAGTGTGTGTTCAGTTGGGGTACAAGGTGAAGAGGTGCCTCTACCTCTCTCTCAAGTAGGAAAGAGGTGAGGAGAAAGAAGCAGGATAACAGAAATGAGAAGCAGAGGAGAGAGAGGGAGAGAGTGGTGGTGGGGGGAAGAGACCTGCTGGCAAGGCTCAGTGGTTGAGTGTCGACCCATGAACCAGGAGATCACGCCCTGATTCTGGAACAGGGCACATGCCCGGGTCGTGGATTACATCCCTAGTAGAGGGCATGCAGGAGGCAGTTGATCAATGTCTCTCTCATCATTGATGTTTCTCTCTCTCTCTCCCTCTCCCTTCCTCTCTCTGAAATCAATATTAAAAAAACTAACAAACCAAAAAACATATTAAAAATAAAATGAAGTGTGAAAAAAAAGAGGAGAGAGAGAGTTGGGGCGGGGAGAACGGGTCATTCTTAGTATAGGATTAGCAGAACTGAGCAGCCACAGTCCCACAGTCCTATCTACCAGTCCACTGAGAATTTTCCTCTTTGAAGGGCTAGTTACAGTGTGTTCAATGCTTGTGCTAGAAAGGGAATGACCTGTTTCTCTCTCAGAACACTGAGCCAGAAAGCAGCCACAGTGGGAGGCAATTTCCGTTAATATCTGAGAAACCCGAGGCATATGCACGACTTTCAATTACCTTGGCCTTGCAGGCAGTTCGCACATTTGGGGACAAGAAAGCTGATGGCATGATAGGAGTCCCTGCTGTGACAACCGAAGCACCTAGAATTTGTCTTTTATTTATTCCCGTCAGGCAAAACTCCAGATTTACACTCAAAACATCAATCATGGAGAAAAACTGGCTTTTTCAGCCAAGGATCAACCAGGCCAGGTGGAAAGACTTGTTTCACAGGGAATGGGCTGAAGGTGAGAAGATGGGCGCAAGAAGAAAAACAATAAAATGTTCTTGTGATTCATAGGCTGAGGTCAATTTCCTGTGCAAGGACAAACACAAAGGACTGCTCTGTTATCACTGTTATTTGCAAGCATC